TCATTTCTATGAATATCCTAGTGATTCCAGAGTCTATGTTTTTACAATGTGCTTAACTATTAATTCCAAATGGACTGCACTCCTTTTATTTCATTGATGTTTTAGGTGGTAGGGGGTGGGCTGGGGGTCAAGGGAAGGAGAGACAAACTCAAACAAATTCTAAAACAAACCACTCACAACCATTTTGCCTTTCTCAGTTTTTGATTTTCTAATAACCCACCTTTGGAAAAGAACCATGTTCCTCAAGCTTAGTATTTTTATGAAGTCTGTGGGTTATAATAATTCTCATCAATTTGAAGGCACAAATGACAAATTATTTACCATCCTAGAAAACCAGATTAAGTTCACAAACTCGGGTGGCTCTGAGTTCCTTTCACTCTTACAATAAAGCAGTTCAGAGAAAGATAAATAGAATAAAATTATTCCTTTTGGAAAAATATAAAAATTTCATAAAAAATCTGTTTCTAGCTCGTCAGTATGGAATTTGTCACTAATCATTTTAAACTATGCCCTTTTATGCTTCTTCTGTCTCTTTTAGCTTTCTGAGTAGGTCTTTGATGTAACAAAGACAGTTTCAGACAAGATTTCAGTTCATCTGGAAAAAAAGGTTTAAGTCTGGAGGCAAAATGCAGTGTATTTAAAATTTATATACTCTATAATGCCTTTGTTCTGAACTTGAAGATCCTGAAAAACTTCTAAGCTTCTTTGCCTTCCTCCTCTAAGCTCATTTGTTCTTCCCTTGCTTATTATCATGCAACTGTGACTTTAACGGGGGTAGGGGGGGTGGGGGGGTGAGGGGGGTTCCATCCTTTAACTACATGCAGAGTCATGGCTGACCCTTTCTGATCAATTGCCAATCCATACAGGTTTGACTGATAAAAGAGCCAATTAGATTTAAGCAAATTAAGGGACATCACCAATGTCAACCACTTATTAAACTGAATGCTGAATTCCATGCATACAAAACACTAATGCACTGAGCCCCATTAAGAGTTGAAATCCTAACCCCATTAGTAACTTCAGACCTTGAAGGGGTAAAGGTCACAGGAAAGTTTCATATTTATGGATTAACATTTGGATTCCATTTTTATTTTTTTAATTTTTTTTCCTAGAACTCTTGAACCTTCACTATAATGCTATTCAAGAGCTCAGATTAAATATCTTCTTCATTTCTATGAATATCCTAGTGCTAAATATTAGCATTATGTTATTATAAACAACCAAATAATATAGTAGTTGTAGAAATAGAAAAACCTGAGCATGGAAGTGGTTAGAGATATGCTACAGAAATGAAGGAAAAATAACCCCCCAGACTCCTCCAGTTGACCAAATAATATTTCAAACAAATTTTTAAAATAAAAAGTGTGTGCGATTGGGATTTGCCACTGTGCATTTTTGTGCTGAGCTCTTGGTTCCATGATCCCAGTTGCCTTAATTTCCATCCTCAAAATAACTTGTGTTTATCAGATTGTTTAATCATATTCTTTTTTTGCTTGTTTAGTCGAAGTTGAGAGCCTTATTTTTTTTAATAAAATTAATTTTCTTAAACAACGCAAGAGCAATGATACAGGGAGATCTGATGGAATTAACTAGGGTTTGAGATTAGATCTTGTTAGACGGGGTTTTAAAAATTTTTTTCCAGCTTTCCTGAGGTATAAACTGCATATTCGTCATTATTTTTTCTCATCAGAAAAATAGAGAAAGCTGGTATCAAATAAGATGTTTCATAACCATCAAATGAGAGATGATTTACCAGGGTAAAAGTTTTTGTACCCTGTGTCCTCCTTCACCTCTTCTTTCCAAATTCCTGTGTAAATTATCCATTATTCTATGCTTACCTAAGTAACCACCATAGGGAGGGAATCGAAGAGCGATGGGTTGGTGCAGTTTGAGAGTATTTCTTACCTCTGATCTCCTGCCCTCTGATCTGTGCCCCCAGTTACATCGGCATGAGCACATTACTCCTACATTGGACAACAGTGTGCAGAGGGGGTCATATTCTCCATAGCTGGTATCAGTAGAAGGTTGCTCAGATAGAAGATGAGGCATGAACAAGCTTGAGCAATGAGAAGCTTGCAATTTAAAACTGTTAATTAAGCTATCTGGACTGACTGATTCATTCATTCATTCACTCATAGATTATTCATTATGCACCTACGATGTGCCAGGTTTGGTCTAGGCACTGAAGATCAAAACTCGAATATGAAACAGTCCCTGCTGTGTAGGATCTTATAACCAGTGATTGTGACAGTCCCATCAGACAGACCATTTCACTATAATGTGATTTTACCCTAGGACACCTAAGGGCCCTATCTAGGCCTCGGTTGGTAAAAGACAACTTTGTGAAGGACCTATTTCTAAGCTGAAACCTTAAAAATGAGTAGGACTTGGCCAGATCTAGGGGGTCAAGGCAGTTTTCCAGGCCACATTTGATAGCAAACATTTGATCAAGAAAAAAAATAGCATGTCTATTTTGTCCAAGCCTTCTATTATTATATTTTTAAACTACACTGAGAAGAAAACATAACTAAGGGTATTATCATTACAAATCTTGCATAATCCAGCACTGAAAGTAAGAATTCCACATCATCAAAAAAGAGACCTAATATTGAAATCAAGGAAACGGCAGAAATGCTAACAATCCAAATATAATGGAAAAGTAAATAGCATATAGAACTTTCTCTGCCCATAAGTTGGTTCACTTCTGTACATCGGTTCATTTATTATTCATTTTGGTACGAAGCACAGTTCACTGGACAAAGGCATGGAAGATTTCTTTAATAACTCTCAGTACTAATTTAATTCTACTTAAACACACATATTCTAGTGAATGCCACATGCTTTTCAGCATGATTTTATGTGTAAATCAGGATAATATGGTTTCAGATCATTAAGTAAAAGGAAGCATGAACTAAAACCTATTTAATCAATGAGGTGTCACCTTTAAACTGCCACAAGGTCATAAAAAAGATAATTTCAAAGCTATAAGTTTCCTAATTGTAATCAACAACAATCTAATGATTAAAAAAAAAAGTATGTCTTAATGGCTGCAATAAACTTGAGCAAATCACTGTCTGTCTTTGAAGACATTTTGCTTCCTCTTTTGGTGAAGGGCCATCTCCCAAATTCTGGATTTCTGACTTTAGAAAGTGAATAACTGCATCATGCCCAGAGAGTATGGGCCTACAGAAGAGCATGGTAATGGCATGAATAAGCGTCCACAGAGTAGAGATAAAAGTAAACTCAGCAGTTGACTTCAGGTCGATTGTGCCACTAGAAAGAAAATTTTAGTTCTTCCTGTTTGCCTAATATTAACTCTTCTACTAACCACTGACAGATACAGACACAGACTGTATACTGAGTTTGCATGAGAAGCTTGCTATGTTTAACTGAATTGTATATATACATGCACACAGAGATATTGAGCCCAAATTATTAGGCATTCCAAAGTGCATGAACAATGAATTAAATTCACCCTATTTTATGAATGTGATATAACTTTAGATGGTTTGTAACTCACAAACCATATAAATCAGTATGGATGCCATAAAAGGAATATATAACTCATTAAATTCCTATATATCCTGTTAAGAAGGTATTGCTGTGTAATTTAAAAATTTCCCTAAGGCACTAATCACTGTTTAATTTCTAAATGTGAATAAAGGGTATTATATACTAAGGTATAGAGTCATCAAATGTTCTGTCCTTTCCAGAATGTTGAGTTAGATTAAAAAATGAAGATACGAATACCTAAGGTTTCTTTGCTTGATTTTGTTTGTTTTGGTTTTTTGGTCTCAATTCTTAAACAAGCCCCTATCTAAATCCAATCCCCATTTTTTATTATCGGTTTCTGAAACATGACACTAAGTCGTTCAGCTCCAACTGTCTCTTTCAAGCATTCTTAAACAATGTGGCTTCTGCCATTTAGAGTTTCAGGTGTTTTGGTAAACATCTATTCATTAAGTCTTATAATGTCATGAAAGGTAGATAACAGTGAGGGGTTTTCATGATACAGCAGGTATTAAATCTTTCCTTGGGAGAAGCCGTCTACACAAACCACAGATTAACTCTTCATTGTCCTCTCGTGATGAGGTTTTTACTGCTCTTATACCCTTTGTGGTGGGAGAGGTATTTATCCAGTCCTGCTGTTTAACAACATAGCAACATTCTCCCCTAGTCCAGAGCACACTGGTGTTTGAAGCTGAGCTACAAGACAGCCATTGGGTTTGGAGTCCTATGCCTTTAGTATTTTCAGAAAACTGACATTCCTGAACTCTCCATTGAGAATCACGATCTTACTATTTTGAGGCATGCTTTTTTGTTCAAGGGCTGTCCATACCAATCTAACAGGGAGTTTTCTTCTTAGCAATTAGTCCCACCAACAGTTAAAACAAGGGTGGGGTTGACTTCAGATCAAAATAATAATTCTAAATAAGTTAAATCAGTTATTTATACAGATAGTTAAAATATCTTGGCTGTATCACATTTCAAGTATAAAAGTGACACTATTGAACTCTAATCATTAGGACATGGAAGTTAAAGGCGTTTTTCCAGTGGTGTGAGTGGCTTTCCTTTTCTATTGCTGCACACTGCCCTTTTTTTGGCAAATGGAAAGGTATAGATATATAAGGTTCTTCAAAAAACCAGGAAGGAGAACCAAAGCTCAAACTGAAAATACAAGTTTTGGATTTAAATGAAGTCTCAAACAAAAAAAAATTTCCCAGTCTTTTTAACATGCAAAGCAAGAGATACATATGTATGATATATACCTTTGCATACACACAGTGCAAGATGAAAGTGGTCTCAACAGAACAATAAAAAAATCAATAAAAGGGTCTCAACCAAACAAAACAACCACAACCCAAACGACCAGAAATACGATTGAGCTTCTAAGTTCTAAAAAAAAAAAAATTAATTTTCACAATAAACAAGCACTCAGTGGAGACTTAGTAGTAGAGCATTTATATAAATCTATGTAGCCAAGTTGTTCATAGACTTACCCCCTGGTGGCATTGCAAATGTTACAGGATCACTCATCAAGCTGCCTTGGCTATTTGAAACATTCACTTGTACAGTATAGTTAGTAAAAGGAACCAAGCCCTTGATGAGTACCCAACGGTTGGTCTCTTCACCACGGTGCATGGCTTGTGTGCCATTCAGAAGAGTGTAGTTATTATCTGCTGATAAAAAAGGAAAATTTTGAAAATTAGTGTATATTTAAGAGTTCATTCATTCATCATAGTGATCAAAATAACTGAACTGTTATTCTAAGAGTGAAGCTGTTCACAAGTATCATGCATGTAAGGGAAACTTCGACACGGACATATTAAATATCCCATGATGGATTATTTACAATTGTTTGAGGGTTTTTTTTTCATCCTTGGATTTTATATGATGTACAAACTGAAGGAAATCACACTCTTTCCCCCATCTAGAGTGGTTTTGGATATAAATAGTATATTCAAATTATACATGGCAGATACTTCATGTGTTATCAATTTGGGTGATTGTTGCTTGTTTTCCTTGAGAGGTAGGTACAATGCTTTCCTATTACCTCTTTAAATCGGAATTGGCCAGAATATGCTGAAAAGCAGTCTGTGTCTACTTGGATCAGAAGATCTGTTTTTAGCTCTATGCCAAACCACAGAGACTGCCTGACTGTGTACAAGGATCACCATCAATGTACCGTCACTGAGCTCCACCACCACCACCATCCTTCTAAAACTTGAGCAAACCCATTCTCAAATAGAGCATGTCTAAGATACAGAAAAATTCTGCTGCTCAGTAATAGGGTTTGATCTCCCTCTCCCACACAAATGAATTACATTCAAGGTTCAGAAGAGTCAGAAATTAGGCTTAAAACAAGGAAAAGATTATAACTGAAAATCCTGCCTTAACATTTATTTCATTGTCTACATTCGACGCTTCCCTGAAAAGTTTACATGAGGTGAATTTTTCAGAATATTGCTGAAATTTAGTAAAATTTAGTCATTATGCCTAAAACACAGAAGAGTCATGCAGAATAGTAATATTTACCTCAAATAGCCTTTTTTCTTTGCCAAAACACTTTTGCTGTACATCCCTTTAATCTCCCCCACACAAATTCTACAAATATAGGCAAATGAATAAAAAACACACATGGTGTTGGACTTTAAGGGGAAAGGATATTTGCAGTATTTCCAGATAATGATACAATCTTTATTGGTTGAATGTTTAAAAATTAAAAGATGGCCACATACCGATAATGATCTTGCATTGTATGGTAAACAGAATTTAATAGTTGCAATATTTAGCAAAAATATATTTTGACACAGTTTTGTAGCAGAATATGGTGCAATGAAAAGTACATGAATTTGGTTGTCAGAAAGTTCTGCATCTGAGCCTGTTCTTGAAAAGTGTGCTCTTTGCTAAGTTACTCGGTATGTCTGAACCTCATGTTTTTCATCTGTGAGCTGGGAATGATAATATTTTGATTGCAATGTTACTGTGAAGATTAAGTGAGATCATTTCTTCACATTACCCAACATATAACAGGTATTCATCTACAGCAACTAGGAAGTGTGACTGCTTTTGCTGTAATACAATTGATATGTTCCACACAAACATTTACAACTAGCAAGTGATTAAGAATTATACACTCTGTATTTTACTTCCTCTGTAGCAATTACCTACCTATTACATTTTCCCTCTCTCCCACCCAACATGTATATTAATCAAAATTCTAATTTTTTTCAATGAACAAAACAACATTAATCACATCTGTTACCACTAGGTCATTGTCCCATAAGGTTATACGTCAAACTCTATAATTAATAAAGGATCAAATGATGTGAAAGAGGATCTCATACCTAGTTATGAGCATTTTCATAAAATGTGGGTAAGGCAGACAGTAACTTTAAAAAAAAACAAAAAATTTAAAAAGATACTTATAATAGCTCTGGGAAGAAGGATGTAGCTGAAAAAAATTATTGCTGCAAAATACACAGGTATAAGTTAAGTGTTTTCCATAACCAGAAGAAATCCCTAGTGTCATGCAAGAATTTATTACTCTGAACTTGAAACTGGCATAAAGGAGGGGTTTATTCCCAAGGGAATAAATGGTACTTAAGGGCTGAAACATGGGGATGATAATTTCTATTCCGTTTTAGTAAAATAAAATAAAGATATGTTCACTGCTTGAGATTTAAGTTCCTAAAATGGAAATAGACACCACAGATGTCTATGTGGAACACATAATCAACAAGAAGTTCTGAAACCTCAAAAGTGGCCTCGAAAAGACATTTCCACATGACACTCTATTAACGCTCACAGGTTCTTTGTAACTAGTCAACCTGATTAGACAGATTATTGACTCCAACTGCATGCAGAGAGCAGGCTTTGCTAGGTTCTGATAACAATATGCTCAAGATGTACAAGACATCGTTCCTGCACTCAAGAAATCTGGTTCAGATTTACTCTCAATCCCTGGTAAGCACTGTTGAAGAAAAATTACATTATCCGCATTTGAAGACCTCAAGTTCCCATAATGTCTGAAATACTGTAACAGTGCACACCTTACGAAAAATTGAAGATTGCAAAATAACGATGAGAGTTCTAAAATTAAGCCAAGAGAATACAATTTTACAAATTTTAAGCCAGGTGCAAGGCAAGAACAAGGAGTTAACATCTATGATTTTAATATTGGTGAGGGTTTTTTCCCTTATATTTTGTTTGTTTCTGAAGCAAATTTCTAGCTGTAAAACAAACACTGTTGCTAGCTTTGAAAATGGCATGGCAGGGGCAAATATATTAAATACCACTTTATTCTAAGTTTCCCAGATAACATTAATACATGGTAATTATACAATTAGTTGTAACATTAAGTTCTAGTTATAGAACAATGATTACTCAGTAATTATAAGAAGTATATAATTACTCAATAATTATGAGAAGTATGCAATTACATAACCATTTTGTTCAGCTCAAAAAAGAACTTGTGTATCTCCAGGAACCACACAGCTGAGTGAGTCCAATGCTCCCCAATCCCCGCTCACATGCAGCTCCATTCATAGGCCTAGAGCAACCGGCAGGATTTTAACCCTCGGGAAAGCTCACAAACCCCCAGATTCAAAACCAAAACCAGATCCACAGATTTGGGCTCTTTCTCCACTTTGTTCTGTCTTCTCTTTCTTCCTTTGAACTTGACCAGTTTGAGTTCTGAGATCTTGGGAGAAAATTCTTAAAATGCAAGTCCTCAGATCCCCCGCTCTTGAGAGGGTCTCGCTTTACTGCTTTTCACTGCATAAACTTTATTTTCAGTGGGCTGGAAAATTCAGCCCCGTTGGTTCGGCCTCAAGGATCAAGCTAGAAAATGCTAAAATGATAAGCATTTCCTATCATAGGTGCCCATTTCTGTCTGGTCACCCTCGGCGCTGACCCTATTTGTAAGTATAAGTGGATGGTGCAGGCCCAGTTAAGCTCCTGTGTTCTGGAACCACAGCTTGTCATCACACTGCCCCCAGGCACTGAGTTTGAAGTAGAGTTCCCCTCATCCACCTCTCTGGCTGTGGTCTGCACCACTGGACTTTAACCTGGGGGTCACACTAAGCACTTTGCAGATGGGGTCATCTACACTAGTGTTCCAGGGTCCACCTACATCAAAGTCATATGGTGATACTTCATCAAAATCCACAGAGCTGAGTTCCACTCCAGACCTACCAAATGAGACTATTCGAAGGCAGGGCCCAGGAATCACTGGTGATTCTTCTTAAGCATGTAGAACAACTCATTTTAGGGTTATTTAATCCATGTTCAAGCTAGTCTTAAAGTAATGATCAAAATTCATTTCCTCTGTTTCCCAAAATAATTAGGTCTCTTTTGACATAATGATGCCTTCAGACTCTAGCTTTGGGCTATAAAATGTTTAGTTTCTTTGTGAAATAATGCATCTTCAGAAAGTATAGAGTGGACTCTTAAACCAGATCTATTTTTACAGACTAAAAAATCTGGTAAATTGTTCTATAAGAAACATTTAAATATACATAAAATAATTTTTAAAATGAGTAGTCATTTTGCACATCAGAGAACCATCACTTCAGGATTTCTGATAAGTATTTCTCTCTCTCCCTTTCAATCTCACCACTGAAGATACAGGGGAAGGAGAGATCCTTTGTATATTGTCCAACATCATACATCACAAGCAAAAAATAAATAAATAAATAAATAAAACAAAAAAACAAACAGAAAAAAGAAACAAGTTTTGTGTAGATCACATAAAATTTTCAAATAAACTCCTGGATGCTGCCTCAGGATATTCTACATTCTAAGAAGTTAATTCATTCAGTCCTAGTTTTCTACTTTATTCTGAAGAAAAAAGTGTTAAATTGGGAAACAGCCAACATAAATCTATGCCCAACAGATTTTACTTGTAAAGAACATTTTCTTAGCTTCAGATATGAAATCTTACAAAAATGTTAATAGCATTCATGCCCATTTTTTAAGGCTAAAAAATCTTACATTTAATGTTATTTGTTGAATAGTAGGATATTTTTTATACAATTATTTTTTTAAGCAAAAACCAGTGTAAATAGATACATATGATCCAGGGATGCGTAAATGATTGCTGTCTCAGGAATATCGTCCTATGGGGTTCTCCAGATTGATATAACATAAATAGGTATCCTTTCCCATTCATGTTATAATCATTGTCACAAGAATTTTAATGCACCATATATTCCATAATTTTTTTTTTCCTCTGTGCTGTACTGCTCTGACCTTTTCAATATTCTATAATTTGACTGGCTGGCCATTTCGGTTCTCTCCTTTTTACAGCCTTATTAACTTGTGGAAAAGAGGTGAAATGAACAACCAATCAGAATACATAATATTGCAAAGGTCAGCGTTGTCTTGTACAGTATCATCACATACAGAAGACTGTATGCCAGGCATTAACATCTTGATATCTTATTCATGTGACAAAGATTGTAACAAGAACAGAAAATGGCACAACATGAATCCATTCTCATGACAAAGATTATAATGAGAAATGACAGTGAACAAACCAAATTGATTCTTGTTACCTTGTGAGGATTTTCCATGTCAGACCTGGTTCTGCTTTAAGTTAGCCTTTTTCTGAATCCAATTACACCCTAAGGTAGGAAAGGTGTTAACTAATTTTCCCACTTCTTGCTGTAAAAAGAAA